ACTCCTCTTCATCTGGTGGCAGCAGTGGGATAGCCACGTATCTCGCCTTAGCCGGGAAGACCACCGTCCAAAGAGATTCAGCAGGATTTGAGGCAGGAGGAAAGAGACGTGGTCCGAGTAGGTGCCCCGGGGGAGTCTGGGCCTGGAGGCCTCTCGTCAGTGAAACCTTCCTAAGTCGCAGCCGCCATGTGGGTGCCGCAGTGGCGAGATGTTAACCACCTCACCTGGTATACAGGAGGTCGTGGGTTAGATCCCGACCCTGACGCCTGCTGTATATTTGGAGTTTGCATGTTCTCCCCGTGGTCGGGTGGATTTTTCTCCGGGTCCTTCTGCTTTCCCCTCCACATTTAGAATCAACATCACGTGATTATAAGCCACTTTGCCGAGCTATCATTTGTGGCCAGGTCACTTCTGAAAAAGAGCTACATATAGCTCAGTGAGACTTACCTGGTAGAATAAAAAGTTTTGGAGCACCGAAAACTCAAGGGCATTCTCCACCAAATACCTCACCAGAGTCCAGAGGCTCACGCCGAAATCTACCTCGTTTGAAAGAAAAAAAGTCGACTGTATGATAGAAGCAGTTGCTACTGCTGCACCAGCAGCTGGCAGCGACCACCGCGCAAGCCTGCAGCATTCGCCGCCTCTGTTTGAGCCTCAACAGCCGTCCCCTCGAGCGGTGCAGCCAGAGCAGAAGCCCGAGGCACCACAGCCGATGCCACGTCTGTTAAGGGAGGCTCAACAGCTTCTTTAGCTGCCGCCTCCGGGTGGCACAGCCAGCTCGTGAAACAGACGCCGCAACATCTGCTGCAAATGCTGCTCCCGATTGAGGTTTTGTATCCTGTCCAGCTGCATCAACAACCACTACGCAGCCACCGCCGCCACCTCTCTTATGGGTTCCCATTTCTTCACGTGGTCAGTAAAAGTGAATTTTGTGATTACCATTTGGAATGAGTGGGTGATAAAATAGCCCACTCTTATTAGTCACGTCAATCGGTACTAAAGTTCTTAAACCTTAAGTGGTACCAACTTCCACTCTGGGCTACGGACCACATATGCTCTCACGCATGTAATATCTCCTGTTAGTCTTCCTTATAAGCTGTGCTAAGGGTACATGCAGGGGTGGTGTGGTTAGAATGCATGACCTCCTTTGTCTCTCTCCAATTCTGATGTCCACATTCTGCATCAAGTCCTCAATTAAATCCCGAGTCAACCTTGGGGAGGCCCCAAGCGAGCGCGAGTTGCCACTTACGTTGTGCACGGCTGGGAACTGAACCCAGGGGCCCGAGCACAGAAACACCGCATACATCTAAGCGGGAAGGCAATTTGCTAACGCTACAAAAATGTGACGTGAGAAAAGTAGAGTTCCGCAGACGACATCATCACGCCCGCTCCAATGTTTACAATTGCGTAGGCCGTTCGGTACTAGGCCCTAGGTGCTCAAGATCGTGGTGCAGCGAGCAAACCGATTTGCAACCAGTTAGGACATGCGGACACATGAACGTGCGCTCTGGCATTCGGCTAACACTTTCAATGCAAATCAAAATCCCAAGACCACAGATTGGCAATTTACAGTTTATTGACCCCTACAAGAATATAAAATTCATCGCAATTAAACTAATGCACGTTTACAGATAATTATATTAATTACAGCAGGCACACAGAGCGAGCGTTCCTATCTAAACCAATTCAGGACAATGCAAACAATCGCTATTATAGCACAGAGCCCCCTAGCACATCTCGTGCGTGTATTCACCAGGGACGGACGATTTTCAGACACCATGGCCGTCAGTATCCCCCCTCCTGATGTCCAGCCCTGCACAACCGTTAAAGGCCGGCCAATGCCAGCAGTAGCTGTACCTGCACGTATTGCGATAACCAGTCTTGAGATCTGGGACTTGCTATCAATGCAATGTTCTTTCCCACTCTCTTACTCCACCAATGACAGGTTCTATTACATTCCAAAATTAGTTTCCAGCCGGTGCTGTTTTGAGACATATGGCCAATTACTAATTGAGTATTTTGCACTTTTTGTGGATGGCAGACAGGTCAGAGAGCTGCTTGATGTACTCCTTTAAGTATACATACCAGGAATTATTGGAAAAAAAGGAGATACGGACCTTTATGATACTGTTCTCCAGTCCACTATAACTGCAAAGCACACGGCTTCTGTCCTACCAGAAATAACTCTCGTCTCGCTCCTCATGCCGCTTCCTCTTATGACACGGTTGCTTGTCACATTACTTTCGCACGGGTGATCCTTAAACTGGTTAAAAAAAGTGGAAGCCACAATGAAGTAGGCCTGCAATGGGATTTTGACGGATGTGTCTGGAACGTCCACATTTCCCACTGTTTCAGTGGATCCAAAAACACAATTTCACAAGTGTTATTTTTTTGTTCTATGAAATGTAAATTCCGAGCTCACATTTGTAACTGAATATCCACCCCTTTTGCTGTAGCACCAGCGCTTATGTCAAGCCTAAGACTTTTTGATAACTCCTCACATTCAACAGATATTGCCCAATACCAGCTACTGGCCTCAGTATGAGAATATAGCCACCAACTGCTCATTGAATCAGTTCCCAGTGGTACTGGGCGCTTCCCACGATCCTGACAAGGTATCGGGAACCGAGTGCAGTATCCACCAATGGCCATCCATGTCTGTGTCTTTCCCCCATATTCAGCTGAACCTTGCATCCTTTATTTCAACCAGGTGGGAAAAGCCCATCGCACAATTCAAGAGAGACCTCTCAACCTTCATGCGGTTGTGTATTGTCATTCCGCGAGTATTGTATTCATTTTTCTTGTATTCATTCCCTATGCTTAAGTTTTACAACAGCATCGTCGTTCATGCAAATTGCACCCATCACAGAGGAACCACAGACACCAGCTGGAAGGCAGCAGCGAGGTGGCAAGCCAGCACTACCGAGCTCTGCTGTCCTCTACATAGTAAGATGTGTTCGAGCCAATAAGTGCTTATTATACATGTGGCAGGCAACCAGAGCACCGGGAGAAAAACCTTCATTCTTTCCGCAATCCCAAAGCGCATTGTTTAACAAATTCCGCCGAGCAATGTTCAGGTTCACTTCGCACCTTTTGGGGAGGAAATCCCGAGTGCTAGGTGCAAGCCGTGGGAGAGAACGCGGTCAGGGGAACTTGTAAAACTACGCTGCACCGAACAAGACCGCGGGAAAACTACTTACTGTACTGCCTGACTAAGCACTAAAAAAGCCCTGCAGGTGCAGGCGTTGCAAATAAAACAAATAATGCTGGCTGTGCTCGCATGGTTGCACAATTCGTCAGCACAAGGTCGTCGGCACAAGAAGGTTGAATTAACACTGCGCCATACTTTAACCCAACGAGACATGTCCCACCCCCCGACGCCCCTCCACCAGCACAACAGCTCTTTCAACAAGCGAGACATGTGGACAATGTGTAGCGATAATTAATGCAGCATTACTAATATTAACGTGTACACAGTGGTGGACATGCCGGTATGCCGCAGCCGGCACTTTGCACAGCGACAAAACACGTATACCGGAACTTGTCAGAACAGTCGCTCTTATCCTGTTTCTGCAGTGAACGTGGCTGCGAGATGAATAGGCTTCACGCCGGGAACTTCTAACATTTCCATGTCAGCCACCGTGCATGCGTGCACGCACCGTGTCATTAGTTGTGTGCCGTAGTATCGCGTAACTAACCTAATGATGTTGTGCACTCGCTCGTCTCTTTAGGTGTTTCTTATCGGCATTCAACTTATACCGTGAGCGTTGGATAACACCGCGTTGACAGACAACCGACCATCACAGGAGCAAGTTGTATATGTGGGGGGGGCGGCGGATAAACTTTAAACTAATGTTTTTTTATTTTACCAGGAAAGGCCCACTGAGCTGTAGAGCTTTTTCAGAAGCGACCTGGCCATCACAAATAAAAGCTCAACAAAGTGGCTTATCACCATGTGGAAATTTATAGCAGCCAAATACTCTTAAATGCATGTTGATTCTAAATGTGGAGGGAAACACTGGAGGACCCGGAGACATTCACGTGACCACAGGGAGAACATGCAAACTCCAAATATACAAGTGTCAGGGTTGGGATGGAAGCCATGACCTCCTGTATACTAAGCAAGGTAGTTAACATCTCGCCACCGTGGCGCCCAATAGTGTATTTGGAACCGACTGCTGGTTTCTTGAATTGCTTGTTGTAGTGATCAGCTGTCTCTCAAATAAGTGGCTGGATATCGTAATGGTTGAGCTTACTCATTGTTGAGCTTGTCTGTGCAGGCAATGCTGCGATTTATGCTGCTACAGGGAAATCTGTGAGCAGAGGCAGATCTATAAACTTCCCTGGGGAGGGGGTGGGAGGCAGTCCCTAAATGTCAACATGTGCGAATAGGGATGCACATTAAAAATAACAAAAGCAGTTTAACACGTCGGCTTTCACGACAAATATTATCGGTAAGATATTTTTTTTGGGTTAGATCGTGTAAGTATAAACGCGTCATTAAACCCGCCACCACCAAACACAGCCAATAAGTAAGGTTTGTCACGTAAATAAAACATGCCAATTCGTTACTAGTTCAGCACATCGGTGTGCAATTACCGTGGGCTTACTCTCCAACACACAGGTGTCCTGAACGAGTAACGAATTGGAAAATTTTGTTTATGACAAACCTTACTAAATTGCTGCGTCGGGTAATGGCGGGTTTAACGACATTTATATTTACGCAATCCAAACCAAAAAAAACTATTATGGATAATACATATATTCAATGGACTCTGCATATCAATAAGAAGCCAAATTTTGGGGCCTCAAGAGGGAAGGAGGGCGATCATTCATCTGCCCGCCACCCCTTAGATATGCAAGGCTACCATCAGTCATCACCAACCAAACTAGACTGTCTCCCACAATCCGTCGTTGTTAAAAGCCCCACCGTACGACATCGTCACCTCGCAAGGGCAGGGTATAAAAACACCAGCGCCGAAGCAGCTCGCGAGTCGAAATCGATTTTCAATAAGTATATTTGACACAAAAAATGTGATGACAACTTCCCCAGGTCTCTCTTGCAACAGCTGGAATAACAGGGCGCCACTCCGCGCCGAGCCCCCCAAAGTCTCGCTTGCTCCATTAGCCTTCACCGTAACACACACGTGCCCGCGATCTCCACACTCTGCACGAATCGTAAAATATTCAGCTCTCGACGGTAACGATCCGACGCACACGCGTCGTGATCGAAGAAACTTTGCCCGGTGAATCGTTACCGTGCCGAATAAGGAATTTCGATTGGAGCGCACGCACGGGACAGAAGTGAGGAGGGCATGAAATGCAGAATTCAGAACTTTGCACCTCGCGGCTGGGAGAGAGATCCCTCGCTCAGCCTGCAGCAGACATCGTGCTCGACACGAACACCGCGATACCTCGGGTTGCTGCGAATCAACCGTCTCAGTCCACAGAAGCGGTGCCGATTTCAAGGGGGCGATATCAACGCTGCGGTGCACTGGACGGCCGGTCCTCCCGCCACGGGGAAATGTGTTGATGCAGCGGAGAAACCAACTCGCGAGTTAAAATCCCCCTCGAGGGTCGATGAGTTTCAACAAAGACCGGTTCCACCCCCCTCACCACACAGAATGTGGAATCTGCACAATTGGCTTAGGGCTGCCCGATGCTCATTAAACCTATGGAGAAATTGGTTTTTGACTTTGAATGCTCAATATAAGCAACAATCTTCATGTTGCCTACATCGCGATTAATTCTCTCTTTGAGGACATGCCTATATTATTGCTTCTAAACCAACACCTTACTTTGGGGCAACTGATATCAGTGACAGTGAGTGGGTATCGCGTCTCTAAATAGAATAACAACACACATCAAGATTATGGGGGGGGGGGGGGGGGGGGTTGCTACTGCCACCCAGTACCAACAGACTGGACCGGTCCCTTCCATTAACCTCGACCCCTAACCATCAGTAGCCACACCTTCTTCACTCCAGGAGTGGGGTGGGGGGGATTCAGGTCTACGTAATTCATGCTTAAACAGGCACAAACAAAAAAAAGGATAAAATTTAAACTCTTGAAAAAACGAAGCGTGTACCTTATACGTGACATATATAATCAAAGTTTACAATCATAGGGAGTGACTTGGCGAGAGGCAGACAAGAGAAAAGGCAGGAGAAAAAAACGAAGCCTAGGTACAAAAAAAATAACGCTCATCAATGCTGCGACATTTGCCACGTTAAAAAGTTCAGAAAGAATAAACCCTCTCCTGCGAGCAGCGATGTCTTTCGCATGGGCTGGGGGGGGGCAGACCAAAGGTGATGCCTCGCATTTAGTTTATTTTTTAATTGCACGTGGCTCAATCCTGCGGCCTTCCTGGGTGGGGAGAGCTGAATTATACAACCGGTAGCAGTGTCCGAATCGATATCAGAAATGGGGGATATTGTGAGCAATGATACGCAAGCAGAGAGAAACCGGTCAACTTCCTTGCAGCTGAAGAGGGGATTTCGTTACAAATCTCTATCCCCTTTAGCTGGCGGCATCGGCCAATAACATCACCACGAGGATTCGCCATTGCAATATGCCGATAGGACGACGATATCGGCGATCGGGAGAAAAATGAACCCGTCAAGAATTTGACTTCCCGCTCCCCCCTCCTCGCTCGCTTCGTTGCCGAAGGTCGGTGGGGCCCGATGCAGTCGACACCTCGTGCCGGGGCGAACCCCTTCTCGGCGCTGGCGAGTCGGAGATTCGGCGGGGCGGGGGGCGAGGAAACACTGCGCACGCCGTCGTGGAAGCTTTGCAAAACTATAAAAACCAGCGCGCGGTTACCAAATTGTGTCCCGGGCCACGCGATGAGAAATGCAATGAACATGAGAGGCGTCACTCTTGGTGGGTCCCCCTCCCTCCGCCCCAGAGTTTTATTATTGTATCAGTAGCTCTTTAGAATGTTTTGTTAAGCTAAAGCTGCCCTTTCTTTTGAATGCACTTTAAAAGAAGAAATATATTTCATTAACATTTCAAAACCCGCCCTCTCCCCCCCACCCATTGAACAAAAATCATCGGGAAAACAACAAAAAAAAGCTTTGCATTTTTTTTTTATCTTTATCACACCACTAACTCTGCGCCAATAAATAGTTACAATGACCAGAAATGTTAGAAGGGTTGTGAGACCGTTTTTCATTCAACATTATGAACAAAGGAAGAGCGGGAAAACATTAACAATGAATGTGTGCTTCGGACGAGTGAGAGGGGTAATGTACAATTGCGGGAGGAGTTGTTTCCGTGGTCACGTTTTTGAGGAGAACAAATTTCTTCGCCCCCAGCCCCCTTTGCTTCTGCGGAGAAGCGGCGTCAAAGCAACGGGCCGCCACTCTGAGGGGGAACGCTGCAGCGCTGTTAGCCCCCTGCCACAACTTCGCCGGCACCGCCGCTTTCAGTGCACCGCAGTAGCCAGTTGATGAAGGTCAATTAAACACTTTTTTTTACTCTCCTTACCAATTCTATCTCAATCGTGCTATTAATAGAATCGCTTTGGAAACTTAATAAGTCACAATTGTCAAGGCCGTCCCCACCCACTCTTACCACCCCCCCCCCCCCCCGAACATGACGATGCAAAAATGGTTAACCGAGTTACTTTGAACGCTGCGAAGGGCACCCTCCCCAATGCATGTCCTGCGGCGAACGATTCGCTGCTCGTCAAGAACTAAATGCAGTCGTACGCTGTCCTGCAGATCGAAACCAGGTCGAGAAAAAAAAACTAGATTTGCGTTTATTGCGAATCGGCCGAAACCAAACCTTGGCTACGGTTGAGAACACGGGTTAAATTGTACGGCAATGCCTAGATTTTAATCTAGAATCTTAGAAAAAAATTTGTTTTACAATTATAACCTGTACTTTCATTTTCAACCATGAACTACCCATCGGGCAAAGGCTTTTCAGTTGGGAGAACTCGTACGTTATGTTATTTTACGGACTGTGCTGTTAATAATCGAACTATTAATATCCCATGGCTGGGAAGACTGTGCTTAGGGCACCAACCTCACGAATGACAGTCACTGCACGGGTTGATATCCTGGCCAATAAATCATCATAATTGTCATTCCTTCAAAATCAGTCAAATAAATGAGCGCCATTTAGTCAGAAGGCTGCACTACTTTGAGCTGGTAAGTCACAGTATTGGTTGAGTTGCTTATAAATTGGCCTCGGCCAAAGAAATGTGAAATTTCCATTCCTGGTTACGGACCTGAGAACAGACGAGCAATGATCGATGCTCATTTGAGCACTGAGGGGCGTTGGTATTTAGTCTAATAGCAGCCATCACGCGAGCTCGTCACGGCAAAGCTCATCTCTAACGAGCAGTCCCGAGTAAGTGCTGGAAATTCCACATTCCCATGGTTGGGGCCAATCTTATCCAAAGGACCATGTTTGCTTCCCATAAAGTGGACGCTCGATTTTGTTGACCCCAGCAGGGGGCTGGATGCCGACCACAACGATGAGGATGGGATTAGTCGAGCGCTGACAGGGCGATGTGAACTCGTGACGCTGCGATGGCGAGCCGCGTGCTCTGCTTGCGTTGCACCGTGGGGGAGGTCGTGCCATGGGTGAGGGGAGCCGCACCATTGGCATCTGGAGTCCATGTTCGAGTGCCCGGCGGTAGCAGCGGTGACGGCATCGGCGACACCCGCAAGCAGCAGCGATGCGCATCTTGGGTTTGCGAGCCCAGGGATATTGAGCGCCCAGGGATATTGAGGGCAGCGCCACGGCCAACGATCATCCCATCGGCGGTGAATGAAAATCCACGTTAAGAGCACGCGGCATTCAAATCAACGGAGGTTGGTGCACGGAGCGATTGGTGGCTGATTGACAAACCTCGCGGCCATAAAAATGTACAACGTATTGAACACTGCATGTGTATTGTGTGTGCACATGAATCATCAAAATTTCAGGGACTGCATTAGCAGAGGTGTAGCAAATGAAACAAATTTCTTTGGCACCATTGTAATTAATAACACTGCCTTATAACTAAAATATACAAAATTAATACATGCTGAAGGGTACCCTTGCCCAACACGTTGGCTCTTTCGGTTATAAGACAGTTTGTTAATGACAACGGCACAAACGTATACAAAATATATACACACACAAACATACAGAATATATCTGCACAAGTACATTATGCAATGTACATGTGCAGTATATATAGATATATAGTGTATATATACTGTGGTGAGCAGGAGCAGCACGTGCATGGTGGGGCAATGCACTAGGCTACCACACTGTCCGTGTTTGTTTACACACACGCGCGCACATGTGCACACGTGCGCGTGCATTTAATATCTCAAGATGCATGCACAGGCTCATGCCTTTCTTAGCCAAAGCAATCCAGTCCCTCCAGATGCAACATCGGGACAAGTTTATTTGATTATTCACGTTGGTCTAACCAACTTCGGGGGGGGGGGGGGGGGGGGAGTTTGGGGGCCTGGAGGCGGAATCAAAGTTTTGTTTACGTTCTCCTTTGGACATGAACGCCGACACGCGCTGCGACCGTTACCACCCCTCGCTGCGTGCGTTCACGTTATGGGTGTATGCGCGCATGTGTACTTCCCGCATGTTAACAAGCGCCGCGTGCGTACCACACGTTACACGTACCACATGCATGCATGTGATACATGCGTACACATATTGCATATGTACACGTCTCATGTGCAAATACGTGTCACGTGTGTACGCGTATCACGCTGTCAGCCGACTCAAGCCAACAACCGAGAAAAGCTGTCGAGATTCACCCCTTCTCTTTTCACCAAGACATTGGGTGAAAAAATAACTTTTTTTGCTTTATAAATGGTGAATAATTTGGTGATGTCGTTTAATATTTCTTAACGTTTCCTTTCTCAAGTTAGGGATCGATTCGGGCCGTCACGATTGCAGGCACGCAAGCGGTCCACTCTTGTCGATTGTTGTCACAGCCTTGTTGATGTTAACGTGAGAACGGTGTGCCCCCTTCTGGTGGCGATAGCCGCGCCGGAGGAACCCGCATGGCTACGGTCGGGAATGAAACCGTGCCGAACCGATTCAGTGGCGAGTGCAGGCGGCGACTGACGAGCACTCACTCCCTTAACGGTCTCGCATAGCACACAACTGGAAGGGGTTTGTACGATTTACTGGGTCTCCAGTTCACATTTTTGGATAAGTGCTGCTTTAGTCCATTAAACATTTTTTGGGCAAAATTTCATGGACGAAATTAAACGTTGCACCTGCCTGTATGGAAATTGAGTCATAGTTCAACGATACCTAACTTGCCTGACCAGTTACCAGAATCGATAGCGCCACGGAACCGATGAGACCGCGTAGTTGAGTCGCCCAGGCATGGGCTAGTGGCACGGGGAGCTGCGTGCTAGGGCCTGCATCGCCCATGGTACGGTGTGGTGTGGTGCGGTGTGGCGTGGGTTCGGCGCACTAAAGCACCATGGGGTGGCGCTGTGCTCAAGTGCGCGTTGCAGCAAGGCACAGTGTACTGTGGTGGAGGCAAAGGGAGCTAATCAACGTGGTGTGGGGGGGTGCTACGCAAACTGCGGAGCAGACGTCACACGCCATTGCTGCCGCAGGGGCAAGTACTACAAGAAGCTGTGGTGCAAAGTAGATGACGTACGCTGCACTCGGGGGGGGGGGGGGGGGGAAGTCCGTGCTGTGTAATCAAAGCTGCGCTAGTCGGGAGAGTACGGGAGAGGAGTACAGAAGAGGAGTACGGGGGACTGCGACGCAGCCATGCGGTTGCAGAGGGCCCTCTGCTAGCAGGGTGTCGCGTGCTATGGTGTACACGCATTGCGAGGTGTGCCGCAGGGCGAGCGCCGTGCCGCGGTACATGCACTGCACACTATGCAGGGTGGGCAGCGAGTGATGCGATGTGCTATGGTATGTGTACTGCAAACTGCACCGTGGTACACGTACCGCACACTGTTGTGGGAGGGTTGCGGGGGGAGGGGGGCGAGGGGGGAAGTGCCAAGCAGCAAGGGGCAGCCCCGTGCGCGGTGCCCCTACTTTTACCCCCCAGCATCGCCGCGTCAGCGCGCACACGCACCCACACACGAACACGCACGCGAGCACTCACGCACGCGCACGCACGTGTCTGCCCCTCCCTGCGTCTCCAGCGCCCGCCCGCCCGCCCACCCGCCCGCCCGCCCGCCCGTGCGCACTCGTCACTGCGCCGGCTTCTTGAGCTCACGGATCTGCTTGATGAGGTAGTTCTTCTCTTCGGTGAACTGCTCGTCGTCCGTGCGGTCCTGCTGGAACTTGGAGAGGAACTCCACCAGCTTGCTCTGGTTCTTGAGCAGGATGTCAAGGATGGGCTGCGGCTTGTTCGGGTTCGCCACAAACACCTGCCAAGACAAGCGGACGCACGCGAGCGAGCGAGCGACCAACCGCCCCGCCAGGAGATCGCCATCAGATATGGAATACGAAGAGGGGTGGTTGTGCTGGGACTATGCTTTCAGTGGCCGCGGCAGGATTAATCGCTTTAACATCCAGACGTTAAGCTGCAGATAATTTTATTTAACCGAGTTGAGAGTTCCAGCAGAGACCAAACTCCGGTTAGCCTGGCAGCAGCGGCTTCTGGCTAGCCATCGAACAAATACGGTCACTGCATACAACGGCGCTTTCGGATGCACTTCGGCGGCCGTCTGGAATGCTTTTCTTTCCGATATTAGGAAGCCACTGGAGCTATGCCCTTTGAAATCTAGATTGAAAATTTATTTCTTTAAAACTGCTTTTTGTGTTGAGTTTCTTGTCCTTCGCCCGCACCTCCGATTAACGCGGTTGGCTACGTATGGTGCGAAACAAGTTCAACATAAATATGTCTCATGTGCAAGAGTGACCCTGAGTCACTTAAACAAACAGGAGCAGTTGTTGTTGTACTGCACGTCTATGCTCCCCCCCCCACCATCAACAACCCACAGTGACCAGCGTGGCATAGTCACATAGCCCACATGGCCCTTCGGCGAGTTGAGGCGCTGACAAAAGAGCTGGCCATGGGTTGTGCACACACGTGTAAAATTAAAAAGAGCTGGGAAATGTAATATTTAAATGTTTTATATATAATTATGTACTAACCCTACCGACTCTCTTGTGAAAGCATCCCACAGTGATTTTTAGTGGCTGCATTATTTTGTTAATAAGTGTTCTACGCTCGCGGAAAGATCTCAGGACTCATCTGTCCACACAGATGGGTTCCCGAGCACGATACTGCCCCAGTGGATTTGAGTCGGCAACCCATTACCAGCAAAGCACCGGACCACAGGTGTGTGCCACCACCACACCAGGCTATTACTTGAGTGAGGCAAGCGTGACAGCACAACCCCATAGGGGTCCAGCAAGGGTTGCCAACCTGTCCAGGAATTGGCAGGCATTGATGTGTACCGGAATCTGGTACCGTTATTGGGTTGAACCATGTTACAGGACGGTTTTGATAAATCTAGGCTGACTGCAAAAGTTGGAAACCCGACCACACACTCACTAGCCCAGTCACTCACCCACCCACTCAATCATTCACTCTCATTCATTTGGCAAGTCACCCAGTTACTCATCCACTCACTCACACACCCATTCACTCACCCAGATTTCCACCTGCCCAGGAATTGGCATATTTGTTGGGGGGTGGCAGGAATTGATTTGCACTGAGACCTGGTACCGCTATTGTTTTTGCAGTATAATGTACAGATTTGACAGACAAATGCTGAATTGGGTAATGTGTCTGACTTTGTTCTGTCTGTGGAGAATGTGGCAGCCCCCTAGATGCAGGTCTTGGTGGCTCCGGGGGGGTCACAGCACGGGTAATGGGCGACGGAGCTCTCGATACCGCATGCTGCCAACGAGGCGCAGGCTCGGTGAGGGAGAGCACGGGGACAGAGCCACAGGAGCACAGAGCCAGACTGAGTAAACCACGTGGGTGAGGCGAGATAGATTGCACGCCCCTCCCAGGGCGGACGTGCATGTGTGCATGTTTGTGTGCGCGTTCGTGTGGGTGTGTGTCGCGTTACCTTGAAGACATGGAAGGCCTCGAACTGGATGTTACGGCTCTTGTCGCGCAGCAGGTTCATCATGAGCTTGAGGTTCTCGGGCTTGCTGATGTAGCGTGTCATGATGGTGAAGTTGTGCCTGTCCAACAGCAGTTCTCCCAGGAGCTGGTGGAGAGACACGGGAACACGCACACACGTGTACTTAAGCAAGATTACACATCCACTCGTACACAGGTACTCGCACACATAGGTACAAAGACAAATACCCCCCCAGTATAGCCTTAGCAGACTGTTAGGGCTGTTAGTAAGCACCTATGAAGGGCGGCACGGTACATGATGGGGTGGGTGGCCAGCACCACGTCTGACGTCGTCTCCCCGGTGGCGATGATTTTACACACTATACCGGGTACTTATTTGAGGCCGAGCCGATCTAGTGGAGGCCTAGGGCTGGTTCAGATAATCATCATGTTGGTGGCTGTGAGCGGGAATCGAACTCGAGTCGCCGGGTTCGTAGTGCAGCGTGCTAACAACTACACGACCGCTCCCCATACAATGCCACACACGCACACACACGCACGCACGCACATATGCTTTAGCAAGCACAAGTACACTCAGTGATGGAGTTGTGCCGGAATGCGCCGATACACCATACCGGCATTTCTCAACAACAAACATGTAAAGCGGCATATCTTAAAACAGTTCCTATTCCTATGTTACGGTGTCCACAAAGAGGAAACGGCCGTGACCATGTGCTCAAGGATGAATAGCTTGCTGGGGAGTCATTCATCAGGAAGTGGATTTACACAGAGCTATGCAAACATTAGCGAGATGTTATCTCCCTCGCCTGGTTTGCAGGAGGTTGTGGGTTCAATCCCGACTCCGATGCCTGTTGTATATTTGGAGTTTGCATGTTCTCCCTGTGGTTGCGTGGAATTTTCTCCGGGTCCTCCGGTTTTTCCCCTCCACATTTAGAATCAACGTGCATTTCGAGTATTTGGCTGCAATAAATTTCCATACAAGTCACTTTGATGAGCTATCCTTTGTGGCCAGGTCGCTGAAAAAGAGCTGCATAGCTCAGTGGGCCCAACCTGGTAAAATAAAAAATCGTTTAGTTCTTATATTTGGCACGGCATGAATGGCATCGTCAAAGAGTGACCGGGAGCTGATGCAGATTCAGAAGCACCACGGATTGTGTTGTAGAATCCAGCTCTGGACTCAAATCCACCTGTTTAATTACGTAGTGAGTCCAACTGAGTCGCAGGCATTATCTTAGGAGCAATACTATTCATTCACACAACGGCACGAACATAACACAACCTACGCTCCGGTCTCGAATGCCCATCTAACCACGCTACGGCAGAACTAGACACGGTTTGCTATCCCGGTCCGGACCACAAGCCGAGTCCCGGACCGCGTGGCTAGAGGCTTCTTCTCCCCGACGTGGATCTTCGTAACACCAACACTTGAAGAACCCCGAGCTCCTCACTGAGCTCTCGTTATATGCTCCTGGGCTGGGGCTGGCTCCGCCCTTAGCCCCGCCCACCTTCCAGGCTCCTCGAGCTCCTTCTCGAATGTTCCTGCTCGCTCTCGCTCCCTCACTGGAAGCCAGCACCGCACACTGCTCGCGGTGCCTCCGCGCTAACCAGCGCTCACCCAACCACCGCCAGTGTTGGTACTGCAGCCCGCAACCCGGGCTGCCCGCAATGACAACATTAACGGCCGTGACTTCGCAAGTCCCGGCACCAAACAGTGACAAGTACAGTCACTACAATTACACCGGCCTCAATGTTTACAGCAACGTGGCCCACCAGAAGTTACCCCTAGGGCCCCCCCACCCCCGACCCATGCAGTGCTGGGAAAAGAAGTAAATTAGAAATGAAAACCTTCAGAGATTGCCTCTTGGTCACGTAGTTTTCCGAGTTGAGCAGTTTCTCGTACTCTCCAAACACCTGCACACATACAAAAAGACAAAGGTCCCCCACCTCGTACATGCTTAGCAGACTTTTTCGGGCAAGTGCTGTTCACGAGCAGCTACGAAGGTCGGAACAGCACATGAGAGGGTGGGTGGCCAACGCCACACCCAGTCGCCTTTGTCTCCAAAGTGGCCATGTTTACACACCGCACCAGGTACTCATGAGGTGAAGTCGCCCGTAGAATAGGCCCAGAATGGCTTCGAATAATGGTCACTGGTGCTGGCGATGACCAGGAATCTAACTTGGGTCACCAGTTTCATAGCGCAGTTTGGTAACTACGACATGATCGCTCCATAAAGACGATACAAATAACCCCTGCATAGCCTTAACATACATTTGGGGCAAGTGCTGTTAGCGAGCACCTACCATAGGCATGAATGGCACATGAGGGGGTGGGCGGCCAGCCCCATGCCCAGCCACCTTTGTCTCCCTAGTGGCGACCTTTATACACTGCATCAGGTACTAATTTTGAGGCCAAGGCTACCTAAGCGATGCCAGTTGAGATAATCATCACTGATGTTGGCCGCGAGTGGGAATTTAACTCTGGTCGTCGCATTCTTAGCCCAGCGCGCTAACTGCCACCACAAAGACAGACACGCACGCACATGCGCAAGAGCCTGTTTATAAATCACCTCACGCGAAGATAGCGGTCATTAACTGGAATTCATGCTGTGGCATCTGGCAGAGGAGGCTTTGTGATGAGAGCTTACAGACTGGCGGGTCCCACAGCGCAGACAGCCGCACAGCAAGTGGCAGAAGAGTGCAAGCAAATGACACGCGCAATGGTCGCGGTGGAATCGGGGAGCGCACAAGCGATGGTCGTGGTGGAATCTGGGAGTAAGCACCTTGTCATAATTCTCTTCCAGAAACTCTGCGCAGATTATTTTGTGCCTGGTCAGCAAGTCCTGCAATTGATTAGACGAAATAACAAAATCACAGAACACGTAATAATTAGTTTGCAGTGCATAATACTGGTCACCTGGTGATGACACAAACAGATTCCAGTAAAGCAATGAGCAACTCAGTCAACACGTAAAGCACCTCCGATTTCCACGGTTGGCTATGTACATACATACAATACAGACAAATGAATGAGTTTTCATGGTGTATACTGGCGGGCCCTCTCTGTCACGTAACGTCACATCCTAGAGGGCCGATCCCCCTATAGGTAGCCGTCCCTGTGCAGCGGAAGGTGGCTCAGCACCTGGCTTGGTGATGGTAATTAAGTCTGCCAGTGCGAGGGGTGATGATTGCTGTGTGGTTTATCCTAGGGCACTCCCAGTGGCAGCTGTCCTTATGTGGAAAAGGTGAATCAGCACCTGACTCAGCAATAGGGATTAATTAGTCTGCCAGTATGGGGCGAGGATTGCTTCGTAATGTGTGGGTAATAAAAAAATAAAAAAATTTGAAGCGAGATTGATATTGAGTGTGTTTTTTAGTTATGGGGGGTAAAACGGGGTCAACCCAGAGGAAACTCATGCAGAACAGGTGGAGAACATACAATACTCCACGCATGGAGAAAGGTGCCCCCACAGTTGGGAAACAAACCTGGGACCTTCTTGCTGGGAGGCACAAATTATACCACCTGTAATGCCCAGTTACAGCGCAGCCGTGAACAGCTACCAGTCAACATGTGTAGCAATACAAAGTGTATACATAATGACAAAGATCACACTATTTACACCCCGTGACGCCTCACCGGTGAGACGTTTCCGCGACCACTGGGAAAACGTGGCAGCCCCGGTTCACGAACCCGGCATTGTGGGCTCAGCCTGGATCCCCACGGTAGTGCTAGAAAGAGCCAAAAAGGCACCGAGAGGCTCCCAGAGAGCCCCTCTAGACTGCAGTGGTTCTCAACCGGGGGTACGCGGACCCCTAAGGGGTACGCAGCAATGTCCCGGGCTTGTACGCGAGGTGATTTATAAATGTGTGAAAATTATATCGTACACGAGTCATTGGTGAATAATCATGTATGAATCTGGCAATATAAAATAACTACAATAAATGTTTAATCCGTATGGTAACCAGAATGATAGAAAAGATATTTCAAAACTTTATTGATCGTAAAAAAAGTGGTTTCCAAGAGTATCCAGCGAACACATTACGTCACGCATGCAAAGCGTCCGTTGACTTTTTTTATTCGCTTGCAGATACTCGCTAGTTAGGAAATGTCACAAAATGGACAAATGGTTAAAATAATGATGTTCATTATTTATACATTTATTTCTCAGAACCATGTTGGGTCAGGTAAGGGGGGTATACTGCGATGAAACAAAATTCAACAAGGGGTACAGCAGTAGCCAAAAAAGGATGAGAACCACTGCTGGAGGGCATCTGGCCTACTCTCCCACTCTGGCCACGTCCTGGAAGGGGTAGGGAGTACCCACACTTTACCTCGCGACTCGTGAACGTGCTGATCGACTAAACAGTGGCAAGCCCATTGATACTGTAAGGTGGGCAGTGTCAGCGGCGGTGGTTGCGGAGTATTTAAGAAGAAACTTGCTTCAACCGGCACGACGGGGAGACGGCACTGAACCGGTCGGTGACCCCTGGGGATTGCAAATTCCGGTGCGCCACACCATGCCACCGTGGGGGGGTAGAGGGAGGGGGCGGCAGGGGACGTTATTCCGAGCAGAAGGAATTAGTCTCCTCGCTCGCCTTGAAGGTGGCGAAGGCGTCGGAGGCGATGTCGAAGGTGGAGACCTCGACGTAGCGGAAGAAGTCGTACAGCTGCGGCGAGCACAGCACGATCTTGCCGAGTGGCTCGTGGCGGATGCACTCGCGCAGCATGATGCCGCAGTTGAGCGCGATCTCGGGCGTCTCGTAGCTTCGCTCGCCGAGAAACAAAAACACACGCGCGGAACACGATCCGTGGTTAACATCTAGGTTAAATATGATCCCGTTGCTCCCGCAAGGTGTCGCGACAGCTATTTTAAGGAAGCCTGGTCCGGGTGACATGGGTATTTGGACTTCCCGTATCTTGGTCCCGGTGATGTTTGACGCAGCTTCAAGTGGAAAGTCGAGCGTCTAATCGCTGGCTAAGCTTGGTTGTGAGAATCGTTCTTCAACTTAACGGTGAGCGAGCCGAAACGATAACATCTGGGTTACACGCTTGTACGTGACAATTTAAATTGTTTGGCTGTGTCAGGTGGTGGAGGAAGGTCTTAATGACACAAAGTTTGTCAAATCATTAATCATGTGATTCGTTGTGAAACTAAAATTACGAAGCACAGAAGTGTATTTGTTTAACCAGGTGAAACCTCAATTTACCATACACACATGCAATTAATTATGCACACGACTACTGATGATCATCAACCATTTTTACCCCGAACTTTTGAAGCGTTTAAATAGGCAGCCCTAAAAAAAAGAATCGCGTAAATTCGACGATAAAATGGCTCCATCTATTTTTTTTTCCTGGTTGGCCCCTTTTCCTTCGACAATGATGATTAAGATGATTGAGAGAGCGTCATCTTCCCGCTTGGGAGACAGTGGGGGGGGGACAATGATGATTAAGATGATTGAGAGAGCATCATCTTCCCGCTTGGGAGACAGCGGGGGGGGTAGGGGGCATCGCGATTCTTCCCTCACCCCTTGAGCAGCATGAAGAGCAGGCTGGGATTGGCGCAGATGTACTCCACGGTGGGGGAGCGAGTGCCGATCTGCCGGCGGAGAATATTGTTGAAGATCTGCGCCACGTCCTTCTTGCCCTGGGAACGGGAGCACGAGGATGAGAGAGATGTATGTACGTTACTATTACGTTATTTTTTATTTTATTTTACCAGGTGTAAGGTCCACTGAGCTGAATGAGCTCTTTTTCGTATGCGACCTATCATAAATGATAGCTCAAAAAAGTGGCTTTTCCTGTGGAAATGTAAAGCATGAAAATACTCTTAAAAGCATGTTAATCCTAAATGTGGAGGGAAAAACCAGAGGACCCGGAGAATAATCCACAAAGAATAATTCAAACTCCAAATATACAGCCATGAGTGTCGGGATAAAACCCAAAACCTCCTGTATACCAAGCGAGGGTAGTTAACATATCGCCAACCGTGGCACTATATGTATGTACATATGATGCACTTCTTTGGCACAGGAACATAGCCAACCGTGCTATTAGGTGCGGGGAAATGACAACAAACTAAACACAACAAGCACAGACGTCATCGTGTGAGCACGATGAGCATCGCGATGATCTGCCCTGCAGGACCGTGGGGTCATCTATACATGGCAGTGTTACCTCCTCGTAACACACTGGGTTTCCTCCGGGCACATCAGTTTGCTCTTCCCACACACACAGCTGAATTTCTTTGCACCTTCTGGACAAGGAGCAAGGTCACCGCGGTGAATGCGTGGCAGTGGGAGAGGAGGCATCGAGCGGAATACAACTGCGAGTCGTCGTCCGGTCGTCTGACACGAATTTGAAACTCTGGGAACGAGGAGACCAACTCTGGGACCGTGCCACTACAACTCCCCCCTTCGAGTGACGTCGCTGCATTCGTGTAGCGGTGGTGGGTGATGCCGTGGTGTAGTGTTAGTGGGTGATGCCGTGGTGTAGTGTTAGTGGGTGATGTCGTGGTGTAGCGGTGGTGGGTGATGCCGTGGTGTAGTGTTAGTGGGTGATGCCGTGATGTAGCGGTGGTGGGTGATGCCGTGGTGTAGCGGTGGTGGTGATGTCGTGGTGTAGCGGTGGTGGGTGATGCCGTGGTGTAGTGTTAGTGGGTGATGCCGTGGTGTAGCGGTGGTGGGTGATGCCGTGGTGTAGCGGTGGTGGGTGATGCCGTGGTGTAGTGGTGGTGGGTGATGCCGTGGTGTAGTGTTAGTGGGTGATGCCGTGGTGTAGCGGTGGTGGGTGATGCCGTGGTGTAGCGGTGGTGGTGATGCTGTGGTGTAGTGTTAGTGGGTGATGCTGTGGTGTAGTGTTAGTGGGCGATGCCGTGGTGTAGCGGTGGTGGGTGATGCCGTGGTGTAGTGTTTGTGGGTGATGCCGTGGTGTAGCGGTGGTGGGTGATGCCGTGATGTAGTGGTGGTGGGTGGTGCTGTGGTGTAGTGGTGGTGGGTGATGCCATGGTGTAGTGTTTGTGGGTGATGCCGTGGTGTAGTGTTAGTGGGTGATGCCGTGGTGTAGCGGTGGTGGGTGATGCCGTGGTGTAGCGGTGGTGGGTGATGCTGTGGTGTAGTGTTAGTGGGTGATGCCGTGGTGTAGTGTTAGTGGGTGATGCCGTGGTGTAGCGGTGGTGGGTGATGCCGTGGTGTAGCGGTGGTGGGTGATGCCGTGGTGTAGCGGTGGTGGGTGATGCCGTGGTGTAGCGGTGGTGGGTGATGCCGTGATGTAGTGGTGGTGGGTGATGCCGTGGTGTAGTGTTAGTGGGTGATGCTGTGGTGTAGTGTTAGTGGGTGATGCCGTGGTGTAGCGGTGGTGGGTGATGCCGTGGTGTAGTATTAGTGGGTGATGCCGTGGTGTAGCGGTGGTGGGTGATGCCGTGGTGTAGTGTTAGTGGGTGATGCCGTGATGTAGCGGTGGTGGGTGATGCCGTGGTGTAGTGTTAGTGGGTGATGCCGTGGTGTAGTGTTAGTGGGTGATGCCGTGGTGTAGTGTTAATGGGTGATGCCGTGGTGTAGTGGTGGTGGGTGATGCCGTGATATAGCGGTGGTGGATGATGCCGTGGTTTAGTGTTAGTGGGTGATGCCGTGGTGTAGTGGTGGTGGGTGATGCCGTGGTGTAGCGGTGGTGGGCAATGCCGTGGTGTAGCGGTGGTGGGTGATGCCGTGGTGTAGTGTTAGTGGGTGATGCCGTGGTGTAGCGGTGGTGGGTGATGCCGTGGTGCAGTAGTGGTGTAGTGATATCATGGTCTAACTGTAATGTAGCGATCGTGCGGTGGTTGCCGGCGCGGGGCGGCACCTCGAAGTCAATGCGCTGCAGCTGTGTAATGAGCACTGGGATGAGGCCACTGTTGTAGAGCTCCTGGGCCAGCTGAGCCACAGCCTCCGGCTGGGGCTCCTTGTCTCCCGTGCCGTAGAGGATCTCCTTCATCGCCGCCAGGCTCTTAGACACCTCCTCGCTTGCCTGCACGCGCGCCCAACCCCACGCAGCGCCAGCACCGGTCAGCAGCGCCAACAGCGGTCGCTGCATTCATTGCAACGGCGGCAGCAGCAGCAGCAGCGCTGGCAGCAGCAGCACTGGCAGCAGTAGTGGTAACATCAGCAGTAGCCGTGATAGCAGCTGCAGCAGTGGTGGTAGCAGGAGCAGCAACTGTAGTAGAGGCAGCATCCATCAATGGGGTTGCAGTATTATTAACCGCAGCAGCAATAGGATATGACATTGGTGGCACATGCCTGTTGCTGTAATAGGGGATGATTTGCACTCCCCCTGCTTGCTCAAGATGTTCCTCTCACCCCATGATGTGACAAGCGTCTGTGTTTTTTAATCAGGAGCTTAAATGCGCCTTAAACCAACATCTCCCTCTCATTCACTCCAAATTCCCAGCTGTGTGTTTTTTGGCCCAGCTGATTACAGCTTGTCCGTGTGCAGCAGCAGCACAAGGTGAGGGCACAGACGATCTTAAGAGCAGACATTAGGCCACCAGTAAGTTGCGAGGTGGGGCGAGGTTGCTGTCGGTTATTCAATTTAAGCAGCTTGCAAGTACCTTTTGTTGTGGTTGCAGGTGTGTACCCTTCCTGCACTTAAGTGTCTATATACTGTACATCTCTGATGTTGACACTTACTGCTAATGCTGCAGATTACATTTATTTATTTCTAATTTATTTATCCAGGAAATCCACATTGAGTCTCAAATATTGTTTTTTTTTGGATATTCCTGCATTGGAACTTTTGGCAAATTCTTTGCAAGCCTTATTTTATTTTGTGTGCGAGGAAACCCGAGTACCCAGCTCACTGGGGTGCCATGGTAACGAGATGGTATCTGCATCACCTGGTATACAAGAGGTCGTGGGCTCGATCCCAACCCTGATGCCAGTATATATGCAGTTTGCATGTTCTCCCCGTGCTCGCATCGATTTTCTCCGGGTTCTCCGGTTTTTCCCTCCACGTTTAGAAACATTGTGTTTCGAGTATTTGGCTGCTATAAATATCCCACGTGACTTTGTTGCGCTAGCATTTGTGGCCGGGTCACTTCTGACAAAGAGCTACATAGCTCAGTGGGCCTTACCTGGTAAAATAAAAAATATAGTATATTTTTGTTGACCCACTACACGTATGAGAGGAAAACACAGGGTCCAGAAAGCTGTGCTCCAGGTACTTCTTGCTGTGCTGCCATCTCCTGACCACCAGCACCGAGTTTTCCGGGATTAGGAGTTGCAATGATCTCTACACGATCCACCAAGCTTAACCTCAAAAGTGTTGGAAAATTAGCGGAGGGGAGGGAGGGGGTACAGCGGTGATTGTGGGATCAGTAGCAGCAGCAATAGCAGCAGTCGTCGTAATGCAAATAGCAGCAGCGCGAACATTGGCAGCAGGATCATGAACCATTAGCAACAGCAGTAATTAAGCATCAGTATCACCAATAGCAACCACCGAGCGAACGTTGGAATGCACAGCGGCAGCACCAGAATAAGCAGCCGCACCGGGAGCAGTTCAAGCGGCAAGAGCATAAACTATAGCGGCCACAAGTGCAGATTAGTACAAGAGTACAATCAGCCATCTATCCACTGCTGGACGAAGGCCTCCCCCCATACGCTGTCGTTATCCCTCACGGTCCAGTACTGCCACCGTTCCAATTCGCTCCTTCATCTCCTCGGCGATCATACTCCTCGACGCATTCTCTCGTTTGACTGCCACTCTGTCACCATTCTCCTCCATCGGCCACTGTCCCATCGAGTGATACGTTTTGCTCGCTCAGTCTCAACACCCCTGTCCCCTTTCAACTAGGTCTAAATGCCTGTTAATTTATGGACTGTGTCTAGATATCACGAACCACATTAACCTTGTTCCGATGACGTACAGGTACGTCATCTGAACAAGATTCAGCAGTGAATGGGACCCACCCACCCTGCAAATTGCAGACGTCTCGGAACGGGAAAGGGTTGACCTGGTCTACACAGTGTAATTCATGTGTCAGTTTCCACTGTTTGACAGGATAATGGGAAAGCCATTGCTGCTTACCAACAACGTGGCCTGGCTTGTTTTTCTCCTACGGTCGTAAGAAAATCGCTTTCCGGCACCACGTGACCCAGTGCCGAAAACCTCTTTGGCTCGCCACCATAATCCACACGTGGAGACCACTTTACACTTCCTGCTCCTTCCCTCACACTGCTCCACTTTGGAATTCCCCTCCGTCGATTTTCCCAGCCTCTTTTAACAACCTTGCTCAATTTAAGAAGCACGTCAACAGTGATCAATTACAACTTCGACGGTCGGTTTAACATGTAGGCTTTCGAAAACAATATTATCCAGAATGTTGTGGGTTTGTTTACTCTTCAACCCACCGGTGTGCTGAACTAGTAACTTAATTGGCATGTTTTGTTTGTGACAAACCTAACTAATTGGCCATGTTGGGTAGTGGCAGGTTTAATGACACATTCATATTTACGAGATCTGATCCCAAAAAAAACCTCAACTTGGACAGTGCTGTTTGTTGTTGGACGTTTTTATGTTTTTGGGCCCTTGGGTCCACTCTGAGCAACCGTTGTCAAAACGGCAACAATGCCGCATGGGCTCACCGCACCTTCTCCGCCTTCTTGTCCTGCTTCTCCAGCTGGGCCAGGCTCTCCTTGAGGTGGCGCACCACCTCCGCCGGCGTCTTGTGGGACTTGCCGAACAGGGGCATGTCTGCCGAGGGTCCGAGGGGGGACGCGCGCGCTCGCCCGCTCACAGAGCCACTCAACCCACTCGCTCGCGCGCCCACACCGCTTCGTCCACGCGCTCGCACACACGCGCGTACGCTCTCTCGCCTACTTGTTCACTCGCTCGTTCCCGACTCGGCAAAAAACACGCTCACATGCGCATACACGGACTGTCGCCTGAATGAAGACCAGGAGCACAGGCACACACACACGCGCACAGATACACACACACAGACACACCAGACACAGACACACACACATAGGTTAGGATAGAACATGCAACTTGTTGATAAGAATTTCATTGAAAATGTTACTGCCATCAAGAGTTGTGTTGTCAGGAGGCAATGCCGCGTCCTTCCTGACATTGGGTAGAGCCTCGCTCCTTCCGTGTCAGTGGAAACCACCCCGGAAGAGGACAGCTGGAAACTACCCAATAGGAGTGGCTCCTTTCTAGATTTAAAGCTTTCGTGACTGCAAGGATCCATACTCTTTGGTTCTATTCGGTAAAGTCACGTAGGTAAATAATAAAACAACAATAATCACGACGTTTCGGCCACAACACAAGCGGCCTTCATCAGGTGAAGGGACGAGCCTGTCTGGAGGACAGCGCTGGAGTGACGGCTCGTCCCTTCACCTGATGAAGGCCGCTTGTGTTGTGGCCGAAACGTCGTGATTATTGTTGTTTTATTATTTACCTACGTGACTTTACCGAATAGAACCAAAGAGTAAGGAGTGGCTCCTCCCACGGTCTCGTCTCGCTGGACGCGTGGACGGCCCACTCCCTCGCTGCCGACGCACAAGCAAAAGTCTCACTTCACGTTCGTCACCTGGAATGCTCAGAAATGTAATTCCCTAGAGCGATGCTGTGGTCGAATTTTTGCAGCAAGAATTCTATGCAGTTCTTTTATGCGACTGTGTTGAGATCATCGCCCTCGCTACAGATGTCGTACAGGTGGTGCCTCGGTTTACAATGCAATCGATTAACGATTCGCCTCCCATAGGGCCCCATTGTTTCTATTAGCACCCCTAAGTGGACTAGGCAGACCTCAGACAATAAGCGACGCCCTTTTGTGAGCATTTTGAGACCAAATTGGCTGCCAGCTTTTAAACGGTTGATGTGCATTGCTTATGGAAACAGCTCTCTTGAATACTGTGTTTTTTTACTTAAAAGTTAAATAATATGAATAACAATGTCCCCTAAAATGGATGTGAAGACAAGTGAGGAAAACAATTAGTGTGCAAGCTAAGCAGGAAATTATTCCGATCGTCTTTTAACAAATTAAGCCTTGAGCGTGTATTTACCATATGATCCTGATGGTGGTACCCAAGGATACCAAATAATACAAATGGCCGAGGCAATAAAATATTTTATTTCTGGGACACTATTTTTTTCCAGGGGTGTACTTCACTCCACGACTGGGGTACCAATCAATCGGAAATCAGTGCTACTCCGCGATGTCGAAATGCAGCGAGGGCGATTGCGCTGAAACCCTGAACGCTAGTATGCACCGTAGTGCATCGTGTACAGCTGGTCGACCATCAACAGACTAAAAATGACTGCATCATGGACATTATACGAGAGCCGGGGTACTATGGTACCCCGGGATACCGCCATGAGGTTCATATTACGATAAACGATCATTTAAATTCACGGTTGTTTTATTGGAACCCAATTAATATCGTTAACCGAGGGACCACTGCGTAAACCCACGTGTGTGGGATGCCCACGTTGAACTGGGGAGGGGGGGGAACCCGTGTTAAAATTGCGGCTCAGCAATTCCTCAACGGGCAAACTCCACGAGCCGCCCGGCCACCTCTAAAACACGCCAACAGTCGACATAAAGGAAGGACATCAAAGCCCCGGTGCTTTTACAGAAGAGAAGTTTAGGGATAGAGGTCACTGCTTTATCAGTTTCCGTAATAAAGGCGAACATGATGAACTGCCAGGGTATGTGCATATTTGCCCAGTGTCCTCCTGTCGTAACACCCAAAAGTGGTCACGACATGGTTACTGGCATTCTAAAAGAGAAACATGTAATTTCCACCACTTTTCTGATTGAAACAAAGCATGGCATGAGAGCTCGTTTACATCTTAAAAAACTGTAAACTAAAATTTTTTTATTTTACCAGGTAAGGCCCACTGAGCTGTATAGCTCTTTTTTCAGAAGCAACCTGGCCACAAATTAAAGCTCAACGGAGGGGATTACCGTGTGGAAATGTATCGCAGCCAATTACTCTAAATGCGTGTTTCTAAATGTGGAGGGGAAAACTGGAAGACCTGGAAAAAAATCCAAACTCAAAAAAAACAGGCATCCGGGTGGGGCCCACGACCTCCTGTATACCAGGCAAGGTAGTTAACATCTAGCCACTGTGGCGCTTTAATGCGATTGCATAACCCCGTACATTCCTTTAAACATACGACAGGTGACAAAACTATTACACAATATGACCGACCCCCCCACCCCCATGTAGGTACCAGTTAAAACAAGAGCACCGTGTTCTCCAACTGCACGAGCGCTCGCGATGGACACGCAGCAAAGATGTCAGACGCCCATAAAACAAACACGCATTCCCGACAGCTGCATATTAAGAGCGTGACCCACACTCAGAAGAATGCAAAGTTATAATCCAGCTTAGCCCATCATCCCAATTGGGTGCGATAAAATTGGTACCGCTTTGCGGGAAGTCGGTAAAAAGATTTGTTATTGCACACTCGCACGAGTCCTGTCCATCACGAACGCACATTGATAACACATTGAAGTAGGCTCCATGGGACAACAACACCGTTTGGAGTCTGTTGCAGAACTGGCTCGGACTCAGGGATGGATCCTGAACATGAGCTGGTAGCGTGTTCCATCGTCTTAGGGCCGTAGACCTTGAAACTGCGCTGGCCGTATATCGTGCGCGAGGTTTACACGCAGCAGATGTAGCAGCAGATCGCAGCGAGCAGCGGATCATAGTCCAAGTCGATTTTTGGCCTGTTGAAGCTGGTACGCACTGATCGGCGAGAGAGGACGGAGCAGACTGATGGAGCACAGGGGGAGAAGTCAAAAGGAGTTCAACTATGCAGGAGACTGCCTCGCCCCCGAGCGTGCATTTGGTGCCGACAAATCGGCAGGAATATATGCACTAGAATTTATTCATAGTGACTTGCTTAGCTTTTCTCTATTTTGCACTCGTCGTTTTTTTTGTACTGTTTGTCGATATAATTCGCTGACCCGCGCCTGATATAAATCTGTGAAAAAGAGCTTCATAGCTCATCAGGTTACTCCAGGATAGAGGTTCTAAACTCTGAACGTGGAACTCTCACCGACGATTCGGGGGCCTCCACTGCCCGACACTCAAGGGGCACAGTTTTCACGCTTGCGCAAGTAAATGCGACTGCTTTTTTAAATTACATTAATGAGGAAAAGTTACAAATCTGAACAAAAAACTACGAGGCCACGTAACATGATAAAATTTTCCGTCGCGCAGTTTTGCGCGTGTGGGTGATGCGGCTCGGAAAGAGTAAATATTACCTCTCAACTGATCATCTTACAGCACTGGGCACAGCGAGGCAACAGCTAATTAAACAAACTCAATGACCAAGGAATTTTATCTATGCCGCAATGGCCGGGTGCTTCCCTGGGCTCATGATGGCCGTGTCAAAGACACCCAGCAAGCAGATTAAATAAGCCACCCTCAATCCAGGTGTAGCGAGTACAAGTCCTCAGCCCAGTCACCAGCGACTACAAAAAAACAGGACATGTAAATAATATTTATTATTGGCATTTGCTAGAGAGCCCTCCATTATGCAGACGCATCTCAAAAGCTAATTGCACGCGATAAGCAACTTACACTGCACACCTCATCTAAAGAAAATTGAAAGGGCACCCTTGGTGGCAGCTGTGCCCTGCGTGGCAAAAGGCGACTCGGCCACCTGACTTGCACACAACAGGCATTATTCCGTCAGTCGGGAGCGATTATTGCCGCTATGTGGAATCCCAATAGAGTAGTTTTTCGCAACCGAAATAACTGAGCGTTTAAACCAAGGCCGTAGCCATGGAGTCAACATTGGGGGGACCAAATCTTCCAGGGGGTCTGGGGGTCCCCTCCAGAAAAAAAATCTAAATTTGAAAACTAATTTCCTGCCATTTCCTGCCTAAAATATTCGAAAATTCACTAACACATGAGATGGACTTATTTTTTTTTACAATGTCTAATATTGTATTGTATTATATTGCTCTGTTTTTTTCTTTTTTTACCTTTTCTTGTTTCATTGTATGTAATGGCAGATATTAGGGATTCATAAAGTACAACCATAACCACAATCATATAAACAGAAATCTATGCATTGTTATTTGAAGACAAGTCCAGATATTGTGGCCAAGGTTTAGAAAATTGTTGTTTTATTTACATATTTACAAGTAAACTTAGGTGGGCAGCAGGGGCGTTTGCTCTGCTCTCCTCTCTTATCTTCTCCTCTCCACTCCTCTCCTCTGGTCCAATATTCTCCTCTCTTCTCCAGTCATCTCTTATCCTCTCCCCAGCTCTGCAGTCATTTCTGCTCCTTTCCTCTGCTCTACTCTCCTCTGCTCTACTCTCCTATCCTGTCATCTCCTCTCCAGGCAATGACAAGTGTTTTGACTTGCCATTCTTCAAGCAAAGGATCCCAAGCTCTTTTTGCGCTTATCGTTGACACCGATAGAAGACTAGCATATTCATTCAAGGTCCAGTCTGTCCAATTTCTCCTGGTGCACATGACACATGGCCACATTTTTCAGCCTTGTTTGACTCATCGAAGATCTAAGCCATGTCTTAAGCCTCCTCGGCGCACTAAAACTCCCCTCAGCTTCTACAGAGGAGGCAGGGACGACCAGCAGAAGCCTTAAAGCTTCCACCTGACTGAAGAGACCTCTCACCTCTGGCACCATTTCCCTAATAATGCTAGCAACATCTGAGCTCGTTTGAGATTTGTAATTAGCCCCAAACATGGCCAACTGCACCTGCAGTCGTCTTGAATTCAATTAAGAAGACTCGTCTACCACCTTGTCCATGTCTACGCATAGCAGCACATTTTCAAGCTGCTGGAGCTTGTGGAATCCAGCTTAATCAAACCTCTATGAATTGAATACTCATTGTGTCCAAGCGTTGAAGAATTGGGCTCTGTACAAAGACTGGGCATCCGGATGGATATG